TTTGGCGGAACTAGGGATTGAACTGAGGCCCTTGCGCTTGCCAGGGAAGCACTTATTCCATTGAGCCACTTCCCCGGTCCTTTTTTTTTTTTTTTAACATGGCCTATACATTGCAGCACACTGAGGCTAGTACATAGGAGCAAGCACTCCTAGACTAAACCCAAAAAGTATGTGGGAAGTGCTGTTTATGTCCTACCTGCCAGCCTGTTTCAGTGAGGGTGAGGAATGAAACCAGAGAATCTTCTGGAAGGCTTGCTGTGGATGTTAGGTAGCAAATAAGGGGTCCAGATCCCTCCCTTCCTGATCATAGCCATTCCAGGATGATTTTTTTCTTCAAAACTCCAATAGTAGAGCCCAGTACCTACAAAATCCAGTAACATTGGGATTACAAGCCTGTGCCAGCATATCCAGCTAGATCTTAACATTGTGGGGTTTTTTTTTTTTTTTTGGTTTGGTTTGGTTTGGGGTTTTTTTGGCAGAACTGGGGATTGAACTCAGGCCCTTGTGCTTGCCAGGGAAGCGCTTATTCCGCTGAGCCATCTCCACAGCCCCTGATCTTAACGTTGTTGAGATAGCAATGCTCCCACAGATTGATCAAGGAATTTAATACAATCCATATCAAAATATCAATAACCTTTTTTTTTTCTTTTTCTTTTTTTTTTTTGGCAGAACCGGGGATTGAACTCAGGCCCTTGCACTTGCCGGGGAAGCACTTATTCCACTGAGCCATCTCCCCGGCTCTAGCCTTTTCTTGTAGAAATGAAAAAAGAGGACACAAGTAGATAAAACAATTAGGGAAAAGTCCTTCTCAAATTAAAAACTCACTACAAAGTTATAATCAAAATACTGTGGAATATGGTCTTAAATAATGATGGGGTCTGGAGCTCTAGGTCAGTGATGGCAAACCTTTTAGAGATGAGGACCCAAAATGCAACCGAAAACCCACTTAGTTTATCACAACATGCCAACACTACGATTAAACCTGAATACTGAAGTTTTAACTAGAAAAAACAACTTGTCCATTAACATCTTTCATCTTAATATACATGCCATAGATTTGCCACCATTGAACTGTGACTGTAATTGCAATCAACTAGAGAACTCTGAACCCTGATCAAACATTTTAACAGAAGGCTCTAGGTAGAGGGACGGAATGTGGGTCAGTCAGCCACCATGGGATAGTAGCTGACTCATGCTAGGCCCGACCGTGGGAATCTTGCCTTCCAAAACTTTGGAGTTGTACACTTCTTTGGGTCTGGCAATGCACTGAAATGTTTGCCTTTTTTTTTT